GTAAACACAGACTACAGTCAACATTTCTTACGTTAAAAGGTAGTAGGCTATCACAATTTTAAATTAAAACTTACCATTGACAGAAACAGCTGTCTCGTGCCTTTTTTTTTTTTCAATTACATTACAAGTAACCCTGCTGGTCATAAAAATAACTTTGTTTTCTAACTCCACGAGTGCCCATATACGTGTTACCCATATAGCATATCAATCCATATGTGCATTTTTAACGTGAGCAATGCCCTGTCACTTTAATTCAGCGTGTGCAGCACAGCAAAAATAAAATAGACTCAGTGCGGGAACAATCGCTGCGATGCTGCATATACGTACCGCTCGGAACGCATCGAGTGAATGCTCAACATGGGAAAGGAAAAAAACACGCACTGCAAACGGAGTACCCTTACCAAAAAGTAGTATACTTCAAGTTTATTTTAGTAAGTATACTTAAGTAAAGTTCAAGTATATTTTTAAGTATACTTTATTGTATAATTGATGTTTTGTTATGCAATGTTAGCCTATGTTTAATGCAGTCAGTAGCCTATAGGCTACATTTTCCATAGGCTATTCAATCATTAAAATAAGCTTAAATCATTAAAAACTGACACATAATAAACAAATCAGTAAGTGTAGGCCTACATTCGTATGTATTTTTGTATTTAGGCCTATTTTATTTTTTTTTAAAATCAAAGCTGTTTAAAACTATGCGTTTAGCGCCAGCCCCCCACCCCTATGTGACGAATTCATTAATGTTAGCCTATGTTTAATGCAGTCAGTAGCCTATAGGCTACATTTTCCATAGGCTATTCAATCATTAAAATAAGCTTAAATCATTAAAAACTGACACATAATAAACAAATCAGTAAGTGTAGGCCTACATTCGTATGTATTTTTGTATTTAGGCCTATTTTTTATTTTTTTTTAATATCAATGCTGTTTAAGACTATGCGTTTAGCGCCAGCCCCTGACCATTATGTGACGAATTCATTAAAGAATATATTATTATTCCACCACGGCTGTTTTTCGTGACTTTTCCCTCTGTGAAATTAAGTGTCGGCAACAGCAAACAACGTGATAGCTCATTTAAAGGTAATGTCACCGCTAAATTGGACTAATTTGGACAGTCACGCTAAATGGAGTCGGCTCCGAAAAACCTGGAACCGAACACCCCTACCGCGCAGCTCAGCTTCTGTTAACAGTAAATCCCGCCTTTTTCGATTTGATTGGCTATTTCAAAATTTTGACATTTAATTTGAATTTAAGTTAATTTGAATGTTTGACTCATTTACTATACATTTACTATAATTCATTCTTTATATTTTTATGCAATGACCACCGAATTATGTGACCTTAGTAGGCACTGTAGTGAGGGTAGGTTACGGCCCACATTATACATGGCCCACCGGGAAAACTCTCGGTGCTCCAGATGGCCAGTCCGCCCCTGATGGCTGGCAGTTGCAGTTTTTGGAGAGAGAATGAGTGACTGACTGTGTGTGTGTGAGAGAGAGAGAGTTTGTTTTTATTCTGCTATGTACAATGCTTTGGCAATATGTACGTAAGTATGTCATGCCAATAAAGCAATATGAATTGAATTGAGAGAGAGAGAGAGAGAGCGGAATTACCTGAGTTTGCGCGGCTCTCAATGTTCCTTCACTAGTAGCGAAGCTGTAAGTTTAACTGCTTAAAAATAACGACATACCACCTCGCTATTAAGAAATTTCACGTCGGTCTTCTTCTTCTTCTT